CTCTACTTTTATACTTTTGCCAATATACACAGGACCACCTATAATAGCAGAGAACTATGTGGGAGTAGTACTGTCTACTGAAGACTAAAAAGTTTAGGTTAAAAGTTGTGTTAAAGGCAGAACACAATAAAAGCAGCCAGGAGCCGGGCAGTGGTGGCGCATGCCTTTAATCTCAGCACTCGGGTGGCAGAGGCAGGTGGATCTCTGTGAGTTCAAGGCCAGCCTGGTCTCCAAAGCGAGTTCCAGGAAAGGCGCAAAGCTACACAGAGAAACCCTGTCTCGAAACATCCCCCCCCCCAAAAAAAAAGCAGCCAGGAGCAGCAGCAAAGGCCTTTATTAGCTATGTTCTCTTCTACAGTAGTGCAATAATTCATCCTTGCTTCATGCCTGCCCACCCAGGATATTGTAAAATTCTTTATTCCTTTTTTTTTTTTTTTTTTTTTTTTGAGACAGAGTTTCTCTGTGTAGCCCTGGCTGTCCTGGAACTCACTCTGTAGACAGGCTGGCCTCCAACTCACAGTTATCCTCCTCCTGCCTCTGTCTCCTGGGATTAAAGGCATGTGCCACCACGCCTGGCCAAAATTTTTTTTATTTTTAATTGGCAGATAATAACAGCACATCTTTATGGGTTATCATGGAGATTCAATAAATTTATAAATTGTGAGATGATTAAATCAAGCTGGTTAGCATATCTATCAATCATCACTCTCTTTTTTTTTTTGTTTTTTTTGTTTTTTTTGTTTTTTTTCGAGACAGGGTTTCTCTGTGTAGCTTTGCGCTTTTCCTGGAACTCACTTGGTAGCCCAGGGTGGCCTCGAACTCACAGAGATCCGCCTGGCTCTGCCTCCCGAGTGCTGGGATTAAAGGCGTGCGCCACCACCGCCCGGCTCAATCATCATTCTCTTATTCTTGTTCAAAATTTAAAATCTACTCTCTGACCAGGCTGTGTAATAGGTCAAAAGCCTAATTCTTCCTACTTACCTATATAACCTAAGTGTGGGAGCTACAAAGAAGAACTATGTTTAATAATGTACGAAGTGGCAGAAACCAAGAGAGACTGTTACAAAAAACTTTTCATATTATTTCAACAAATGCAAATTAGTTCACCCTGCTTAACACTAGTGCTATAATATTTAAATCCTTATAGTCAGTTATTTTGAAATATTAGATCAAAATGAATAAAACATATTTTGGCAGTGGGATGCACAGGTATGTCCTTGAGTGAGGTGGTCAAAGGTCAATCTCTAGTGTCATTCCATGTTTGTTTGAGGTAGGACTTGAGGCTTGCCCAGTTAGGCTAGGCTGGCTAGTCATCCTACCATTCCCCCCTCCCCAGCACCATCATGCCTCACTTTTTATATGGGTGCTGTTCCTCAGGCTTGCACAGCAAATACTTTACTGACCAAGCCATCTTCCTCCATCACAAGAAGACACATTGTTATTGCCCAATATGCCATCCAAATTCAAGCATAACATTTTAGGAATACTCTACCTTGATCACTTTTTATAGATAAATTTGACATATCAGGGGGAGAAACACTTGGTTTTGGTACAAGCATGCCTGGTCTCCTCAGTGGCGTAGATATGAATTTCTGAAAGAGAATTGCCAGTTAGATACTTTTAAACAGAGCTACGTCTGGATACTTTACTGCACATATTTAATAAAGTAACTTCAAACAGCCTGTGGACTGCTTCTGCATTCTCTCACCATCAGTGAAAACAAATGCATTTATCAGTAAAAGGAGCAGTCCATGGCAGACAAGAGCCAGTCTGTAAAGACTATGACTAAGAAGGCGAGTGGTAAACAAACAACTACAGTGCAGAGTCGTTTGTGCACCGCTGATCACCTCATTTCCCCGAGGCACTTACAACCAAATGCCGGGCTAGGGGCCAAAGGATTATTTCTGAAAGAAAATCAACCTAAACCTCCAATCCTGTAATATTGTTTGGTTTTCAATTCAAAGTAAAAACCAGAGCACAATGTGCCTCCAACTGTCACAACACACACACACACACACACACACACACACACACACACACACAGACAATACTTAAGTTCTGAGGAGAAAATTTTTAAAGTTATTTTTATTTTATTTTTTATGTATACGGGTGTTTGCCTGTGTGTGTGTGTGTGTGTGTGTGTGTGTGTGTGCGCACGCGCGCGCAGCTCCAGTGGAGGCCAGAGGAGGGCATCAGAATCGCCTGGAACTGGAGTTACAGATGATGGTGAGCCACCATGTGGGTGCTGGGACTCGAACCTGGGTCCTTTGTAAGAGTTAGCCAGTGCTCCTAATTACTAAGTCATTTCTAGCCCCTTGAGGAGAAATGTCTTATAAGAAATTATAATGACAAGAAAAATCAAAGTTCACAAGCACAGAACATCACATATCCACCTGACTTAAGGCACCAACTTAAAAATCTACCATATTAAAAAAATAATAATTCACCAAACTTTTGAGTTTCAACCCAATGCCAACAGCCGAAGAATGAAAGTTCAGTGTGTACAGACAGAAGAGAACACCACGAGGGAGAAGAAAAAGAACTCCATTAATTACCTTGTACTTTCTGAACAGAAATGAGCAGGAAAACAAGGTCTATTTAGTACTTCACTACCCCACTGCGCAGGAATTTGCTTAACTTTCCTGTCCGCAGGATCTACAGATGTTAACTTAGGTCCTCCAAGTCTTGTTATTCAAACTATTTAAAGGCCTAGGAGTCGTTTAAAAATGAAGCTCAACTATTTCTAAGTACGCCGAAGTGTTTTAAAAGCCGTCTAACCGTTAAGAACGGAAAGGGACTCCGGGAGGCTATTTAGTGTAAGCCCTAAACACCATGTGACCTGGGGTTTCTGCACGGTCTGGAAGCTTCCCCGCGGTTCTCGGGCTCCACCGCGGCTGGGAGCCCCGGGGCGGGCGGGCGAGCGGGCAGGACGGGGGCTCCCCACTTACCTGCTTCTCTGAAGGCCCCGAATCCTTTCCCTGGGCTGCTCTCCATTCTCGAGCCATTTCTGAGTATTTCTCCTTCTCATCCTCCCTGAGGAGCTTGGGGAGACAAGAGAGGGAGGCGGTGAGGCGTCCGTTCCACGCCCCGGTTCTGGAAGGTTCTGTCGGTTGGTCCGGCGCAGGGGAAGGGCCCCCCCCCCCGGCCCGTCCCCTCCCTCCCTCCCTCCCTCCCTCCCTCCACGGACGGCCCGCAGCCCGGGTCCCCCCCCCCTCCGCGCCCTCCCCGCTGCCCAACTGCCCGCGGCCGCCTCACCGCCCAGTCGGCCGAGCAGTAGGGGATGGCGTCCGCCACTCGGGCCACCGGCAGGCCTCGCCGGCGCAGTTCGGGAATCTTCTCCTGCACGAAGAAATAGTAGGCATTGCGGCTGGCCCTGCGGTTGGGCATGGCGTCGTCGGGCCTCGACGCCCTCCAGAGACACAGCAAGCAGCCGGCGCCCTCGCCGGGCTCCCGCCCTTAGTAACCGAGCTGGGCGCCTGCGCGCGCGCTCCTGCCCGGCGCCTGGCCAATCAGGGCGCAGCGCGCAGCCGCGTTGGGCTCCCCCCGTTGGTGGGGGGAGCAGAAAAACAGCCTGAAACGGGAAGGTTCCACCGCGTGCGCGGAGGCCGAGGGGGCGGGGAGGAGGGAGGAGTCGGGCGCAGGTGGGGAGCGTTGCGATTGGCTGGCTGGCGTGCCTGGTAGGCGGGGATTGTCACGTGGAAGGCCCGGCGCCTTTTCTGTGTATTGTTGCGTAGTGTGCCCAGTTGGTAGGCGGAGGACTCGCGGGTGCTGTCGGTTCCCAAGTGTTTGACGGCGAGAAATAGCGAGTGTGTGCAAAGCGCAGAGGGGAAAGGTGGGCTCACTAGGGTGTTTTCAAGACGGCAACAACAAACACAACGTATTCGAAAACCTTCTGTTATTTGTTAGCATTTGGGGAGCTGAGGATGGAACCAGAGCCTCCCAACAAGCTAGGAGACCACTGAGCTATGTTCCCAACCCTTACCTCAATTTTTAAAGTGCAGTATACAGTTAGGCATAAGAAAGTAACACAAGCTGGGCATGGTGGTGCACGCCTTTAATCCCAGCACTGGGGAGGCAGAGGCAGAGGCAGGTGGATCTCTGTGAGTTTGAGGCTAGCCTGGTCTATAGAGCTAGTCCAGGACAGAGAAACCCTGTTTTGAAAAAACAAAACAAAACAAAAAACCCCAACCAAACAACAACAACAAACAAAACCACAAGAGCTGAGATTTCAAATAATGTCCGTAAATAAAGTTTTATAGGCTTTCTCATAAGGGCTGAGTAATTTCTTTTTCATCAATTTTATTATGAGGTGGCATTTTGGGAGTTATTATGAAGTGTTTTTTCTCATCTTGTGTACCTAGTTACTGCTGACTCAAGGTTGAGCCTGTGTATTTAGTAATACTGAGTTCTCATACTGGTTCAAATTAGTGCGTGCTAATTCACTTGGGTTTTCTATTTCTCAACGAAATTCCTTTGTCTATTCAGTTTACTAAGTCTGTGTATAAGTAGAGTATGTTTTTTTAGAAAAGGCAGTTCAAACTTCATTTAAAAAATTGCACCTTTTCAGATAACCACATTTTATTATTGGTTTGTTTGTTTACTTTTACATCCTGTCGGCAGGCAATTTCCCCTCTCTCCTCTCCTCCCAGTCTCTCCTTACCCCCCACTTTCTGTTTCTATTCAGAAAGGGAAGGCCTCCCATGGATATCAACAAAACATGGTATATCAAGTTGCAGTTATGACTAAGCACCTCCCCTCATATTAAGGCTGGACAAGGCAATCCAGTAGGAGGAAAAGGGCCCCCAAAGCTGGCAAAAGAGTCAGAGACAGCCCCTGCTCCCACTGTTAGGAGTCCCACAAGAAGACCAAGCTACACAACTGTAACACATATGCAGAGGGACTAGTTTGGCCCCATGCAGGCTCCCTGGTTGTCGGCTCAGTCTCTGTGAGCCCCTGTGAACCCAGGTTAATTGATTCTGTGGGTTTTCTTGTGTTGTTGACCCCTCTGGGATCCTACAATTCTTCCCTCTCTTTAACAGGGTTCCCTGAGCTCCTCCTAATGCTTGGCTGCGGGTCTCTGTGTCTGTTTTCATCAGTCAGTAGCTGGATGAACCTCTCTGATGACAACTGGGCTAGGCACCGATCTGTGAGTATAGAAGAATATCACTAAGCACCATTACATTGACTTTTTCCCCTCAGTTGTGTTTGGTTCTATCCTAGGTCTCTGAGTTGTCCAGCCTCTGGGTCCTGGCACTCCAGGCAGTGTCAGGGGTGGGCTCACTCTTGTAGCATGGGTCTCAGGCTGGACCAGTCATTGATTGGCTAGGCACCCCCACAATTTCTGCCCCACCTTTACCCCAGCACATCTTGTAGGTAGGACAGATTGTAGGTAGAGATTATATGGCTGGGTTGGTGTTCTAATCCCTCCACTGGAAGTCTTGTCTGGTCATAGTAGATGGTCAGTTCAGGCTACGTATCCCCTATTGCTGGGAGTCTTAGCTGAGGTCACCCTTGTAGATTCCTGGGAATTTCCCTTGCACTAGGTTTCTACCTGATCTGGAAATGTCCCCCCTTTTCCAGTCGTCTCTTTCAGTAATCCCCAATCCTCCCCACCTAATCCCTCATGTTCCCATTCCCACTTGCCCCAGTCCATCCATGAGATCTCTTCTATTTCCCCTTCCCAGGAAGATCCAAGCATTCCCCCTTGAGCCCTCTTTGTTACCCAGCTTCTCTGGGTTTGTGGATTATAGCATTGTTATCCTTTACTTTACAGCTAATATCTACTTATAAATGAGTATATACCATGATTGTCTTTCTGGGTCTGGGTTATCTCACCCAGGATGATTTTCCTAGTTCTATCCATTTGCCCTCAAATTTCATGATGTCATTGTTTTTTAACAGCTTTTTTTATGTAAAAATTATGTAAAATTACTGTTTTTAACAGTATTTTTACATAATACTCTATTATGTAAATGTACCATATTTTCTTTATCCATTCATCAGTTGAGGGACATCTAGATTGTTTCTAGGTTCTGACTATTATGAATAAAGCTGCTATGAACATAGATAAGCAAGTGTTCTTGTGATACGTTTGAGTATGCTTTGGGTATATGCCTAAGAGTGGTATAGCTGGGTCTTAGGTAGATCGAATCCCAATTTTCTGAGAAACTGCATGTTGATTTCCAAAGTACTTGTATAAGTTTGTACTCCCACCAGCAGTGGAAGAGTGTTCCCCTTGCTCCACATCCTTTCTGGCATGAGCTGTTGTTGGAGCCCACTAGGTTTCCTAGTGCCTGTACCCATCAGGACTATTTAAGAGGTTGATTGGACCACGGGCCTGGGTACCAGGTAACTGTAACTAGCAAGGGGGAGGCCTTTTGCTTCATCCCTTGGCATTGTTATAAATAGACCTTAGGAATTAAGTTCTGGGCTGGTGGATAAGGATCCAGACCCACCCGAGTCTATCCTGTGCTTTTTCTCTGTTTCTTTACTTTCTATTTCCAACTAAGTCTCTTATCCCTCAATCCTCAAGAATTCCTGGGGTAAATAAGTGTGAGGGCTATCACTTGTGTTTTTGATCTTAGCCATTCTGACAGGTGTAAGATGGAATCTCAGAGTTGTTTTGATTTGCATTTCCCTGATGGCTAAGGATCAATGTTGAACATTTCTTTAAGTGTTCCTCACCATTTAAGATTCTTCTGTTGAGAATTCTCTGTTTAGATCTGCACTCCAGTTTTTAATTACATCATTTGGTTTTTGATCTAGTTTCTTGAGTTCTTTATATATTTTTTGGAAATCAGCCCTTTGTCAGATGTAGAGTTGGTGAAGATCTTTTCCCATTCTGTGGGCTGCCATTTTGTCCTATTGATGGTGTCCTTTGCCTTACAGAAGGTTTTCAGTTTCATGAGGTCTCATTTATTAATTGCCAATTTTAGTGTCTGCACTATCAGTCCTCAGTTCAGGAAGTTGTTTCCTGTGCCAATAAGAATAACCATATTCTTTATTGTTGCTAATAATGTTGCTAGATTCCTCTGGTATTGAACCAGCCTAACATTTATACGGACACATTCTTCTTGATCATGAGGCATTGCTGATACTTAAAAAAAAAAAATGTTTTGCTTTCTTAGTAGATATGGATTATTATTTTGTGGTGCTTGCTGTAGGGATCTGAGGAAGATCTGAGTGAGTGGTGTCCTGAAAGAATGTGCTTTGTTGACACGGACAGGGTCACAGTCCCAAGATCTCCAACTGGTGAGACACCAGCAAAGCTGTTAGGCAGTCTCAAGAGAAATGTGGCACAGCTCTCCTGGAGAGTACTAGAATGAGTGTTTATGAATGGCTGATCAGTGTGTGCAGAGATGAGCAACGACTGTGGCTTCCTCCTCCAGGATGTGTTCAGTGGAAATTGCTCATCTACAGAGACCTCCCATGGAGACTCCCTAACTCCTCCCTGTCTTCTGTATCTACACATTGCTAAGATTCCAGGTTTCTGCAGGGAAGAAAACTCTCACCTGATCCCAGCTTCACTGTACGTGCGCCCGTCCTTTCTTCATTCCCTCTTTGCCCCTAGTGAGGAAGGATTCCAGGACCCAAGCCATGCAGGACAGGGCAGCTTTCCTTACTAAAGATTGGTATCAAGGTTATTATTGTTTCATAAAATGTACTCCCTTTTCCTCTTTTTAGAATTGAATAAGAGATGAGAACTACTGATTCTTTGGAAGTTTGGTAGATTTTCTTGTTTAAGCTCTGAAACTGACAAGCCTCAGGGGGCAGCAGGGGGCTGAACCTCGTCAGTATCTGGCATGGGTGTCTTCAGTCAGTTCTCCTAGAAACCTGTGTCACATTTGGGATTACAAGTATATTGGTATAAAATCTGGTGAGGAGATGAGGCCACTGAAACTTTTCTAAATATTGATAAGACAACAGCTTGACTGGATCATCTCATACTTAGCTGAGTGACTCAGCAAATTCACCCTTTCAAGAGGAGCGGACTTACACAAAGGCTTGTAGAGGAAATTTTATAACAGCTCTGTTCTTCAAAAGCCCCATGCTGAATAACTCAAAGTCATCAACAGTTGAATTGGTAAATTGTAATGTATAATATGGTAGACTACTGGGAACTAAAAGGAAATGAGCTTGTCTTGATACTCAACATGAATTCTGTAATGTTACTGAGTGGAAAAAAGCATACATAAAAATGTGCATTTTCTGTGACATGATGGATACAACCCTTGAGAAAGGTAAGACCATACATAGTTAGAGAAATCAGATCAGCAGCAGCCTGAGGCCCAGAGGTAGGGGAAATAATGGAACTAACATAGAATACCTTGGAGGTGGCAAACTATTTTGTGCCTTGTAGTGTTAGTGGTGACAAGCAGGACATGTCAAAATTCATCAAATTGTATTTTGAGATGTATGCATTTTCAAAAGTTATTATTTTATGTGTATGGGTGTATTTCCTGCATCTCTGTCCATGCACCATGTGCTTGCCTGGTACCCTTAGAGGGCATTGGATTCTCTGGAACTGGAGTTACAGATGGTTTGTGAACTGCCATGTGGGTGCTGGGAACTGAACTTACCTCCCCTGGAAGAGCAGTAAGAACTCCTAACCCTGAGTCAAGTTGTGTGCATTTTATTGTGTAAACTACAGTTTAAGAAAATGGATTTTTAAGACAAGATTGGCATAATTAATGAATGTCACACTTGTTTATAGTTTTAAAAATTACATTCTATCTCCTTCGTTTTTTTCCTAATATTATTTAAGCCTTCCAAGCCTTTTAAAAATATTTGTTAAAGTGTTTTATTGATCATAAAATAATCTGAATTTTTATTTTATTGAGAAACTTTAATGCTTTTCTTTTCACCCTTCTGTTTTAAATGTAACCATCAGCCTTCGGCCTGTTTTGCATTTCTTCTTCCAGTTTCTGAAATAAAATATTTTATTTTTTCCAATGTCTATTTTTATGGGTTTACTTCTCTCGTTTCTGCTTTAGTTGGATTGATCAGTATTTCTACTCTGCTTACTTTTCTGCTGACTTCAAAGTTACCCATTTTGTTTTTCTTCATTCCATAGGTAGGGTGTGGGGGCCAGAGGACAACTTTCAGGAGTCCGTTCACCATGTGGGATCTGGAGCTTGATCTCGGGTCATCAGGCCTGTGCAAACATCTCTCCCTGCTGCTGAGCCATCTCTCCAGCCCCCGTTCCTGTAAGACAGCTTACAGTCCCTTTTCTTTTGGCCAGTTTTTGGAGGGAACTGTTAACGAAGCCACCTCACGTTTGGTGACCGCATGGACTGCCACCATGGTACTCCCACTGCAGAACACTTCACAGATGTCTTGAGGAGACTACCCTCCAGCTGCATTATGGCTGCTGCTGAAGCCACAGTTTCTCCTTCAGGAGGTCTTGCTCTGGTACAGCTGTACCAGCTTACATCAGTCACAGGAACATCAATCAGCCACGACAGGGCTTTTCTTCCTGCAGCTGTTCTCACTCAGGATGGGAAAGTTATGGTGACTCAGAAAAAAGAAAAGGAAAAAGTTGTGATTTGGTGCTTATGTAAGGCTTGTGATTGGTACTTAGGTAAAGCTTAGGTGGGACTAGAATCTGCACATAGTCATGGTACACCTATCATTAGTGATATAAGCAGGATGATTGCCATGCCTTTGAAGTTTGCTTAGGAGGATTTTCCCCATGTGCTGCCCCAGGGCCGCATCATTGAGCCCAATAAGGGCTTCTCTGAATGGCCTTTGGCTGAGATGTCATCTTGATCATTGGTATAATGGGTTGAACAGGCTTCGTGAAGAGCAGCCTCAACAATAGCACCAGCAGAAAAGAGGCAGTTAAAGGTCCAGTCAAGCCACGGTGAGCTGAGAGCCCTGCCTGGCATCCAAGCTCTGAGATATGTTATCGAGAGGCAGCTGAGTGTTCCAGACAATCCCCAAGGGCTGAAGCTGGAGTAAGCTCATACTAGGAAGAGTTATAGAAATAGTGTGGTAAAGTCTCTGGATGATGAGATTGCTGGAAGTCAAGGCTATTGGGACAGCAAGGCTTGGTCACTAGAAGAGTCTGAAACATCCACTAAAGGTTAAAGAGTCAAACTGTAACTCCAGCTTCTGAGTATTGGTCCTCTAGCCCAGAAGAGTGCTCACTTTGAGCACATCCAGCAATAAGCCTTCGTCTTTAAAAACTTGGAGCCCTAAACCTCTGGCTCAAGGCATAGAGCTCTCAGTCTCTACCTTAGATCTGCATTAGGAGCCTCGTCTGTAAGCTTCCAGAACTCATCTCAACTTTCAAGAAGTTGAGATGAGTTCTGCTACCTGCACTTGTATCTGGATAAAACAAAAAGAGCCTTAGCCAACCACTTGTGACAGTTTCAGGGTTTTGTGGTTTTGTTGTTGTTGTTTGTTTGTTGTTTTTTAACCAATGTTGATAAATAATCAGCATGCAACAAACAACATATCTGAAATAGGAAGCTTGATGAGTTTTGACATTTATACACCTGTAAAACTAAGCCTGCACAGAAGCCAAAGAACACCCCCATCCCCATTTCCTCATGACCCCCTTTTAATGCACGGAGTCCCACAGTTCTCCACTCCTCTTCCCTCCAGTCTCCTGTGTCTGCTCCCTGCTACCTGCACTTGTATCTGGATAAAACAAAAAGAGCCTTAGCCAACCACTTGTGACAGTTTCAGGGTTTTGTGGTTTTGTTGTTGTTGTTTGTTTGTTGTTTTTTAACCAATGTTGATAAATAATCAGCATGCAACAAACAACATATCTGAAATAGGAAGCTTGATGAGTTTTGACATTTGTACGCCTGTAAAACTAAGCCTGCACACAAGCCAAAGAACACCCCCATCCCCATTTCCTCATGACCAGGGCACGGAGTCCCACAGCTCTCCACTCCTCTTCCCTCCAGTCTCCTGTGTCTCACTGTGCGCTCTTCTCCCATCGCCGTGTCCTCATGTTCACTCATATACTCTTCTATATCTGATCTTAATCCCACCAGTATATTTTCATACCAGATTATTCCGTTTCTATCAACAGGAGTTAATTGAATCTCTTAAAAATATCTCCTGTTTCTCTCCACTCAACATAGCTTCTTTTCTTTCCTCCACACGGAGTTGGGTTATAACATATAAAAGTTATAGTAACAGCTAATTATTGTCACCGTCCACTCGTTCTGTCATCTGAGCCACTTCTGGGTCTGTCTCAACGGGTTGATATTTTTCCTTATTGTGAGTGAACGTCCTATGTCTTTTCTCGGTAATATTTGATTGGATGCCGGTTCTTTGACTTTGTTAAATGCCGTATATTTCTGTATTCTTCTGCTTTGCTTTAGGATGTGGTTTATTACTTGGAAACAGCTCAATGCTTGCTGTGGCTCCTTCCTCTCAGGCTTTGTTATTTGAGAGCAGAGCAACCACTAAGACGAATTTTCTCCTCTACCGATGTGACACCCTTCCGAGCACTCCACCTGATCGCCCATGAATTTGGAGGCTTTTCCATTTGGGCTGACAAGCACACAAACTATTTCTAGCCCTGTGTGAATTCCAAGGATTGTTCCTTCTTTCAGTCCTTTCAAGTTGTTCTTTCCCTGGCACCGTGTAGTCTCCTCCCACGCAGGCGCTCATCAGTATTCAGCTAGAGCTTCAAGGGAGATCCTCACCAGAGCACCAGGGTGCTTTTGGCTTTCTGTTCCTCATGCTGCTTCCTCTTTCCTGGTACTCTGCCTGCGAGCTCTTCTCACTCTGGCCAACCTGGACACTCGGCTCCACGTGCTCAACCCAAGGAGACTCTAGGGCTCTAGGGCTTGTCCTTCTTGAGGCTGCATTCTGGATCCTTCTTGCAGCACTTGGTGTAGTCGCAGAGCTTGCCCTGTGTCTCTTCTTTCTGGGACCATTAGTTACCTTGGCTCCCTGATGATGCCCAGTGTCTGAAGTCATTGTCCCGCATATTTGGCCAGGTTTTTAGTTGCTTCGGGCTGTCGGAAGAATCCGTGTTCCCTGTTCCTCCACCTTGATCCACATGACTTGCTCTTATTTTAACACTTAAAAAGAACATCATTATACTCAACTACTAAATTTTTAGATAGGTGGTCAGGATAGATCACCCTGAAGAGTAGGTGACTTTTAAAATTCGAAGAGAGAGAGAGAGAGAGACAGAGACAGAGACAGAGACAGAGAGAGACAGAGAGAGAGAGAGAAAGGAACAGAGAGAAAAGAATTCCAGACAAAGGGAATGGGATACACAAAGGCTCAGAAGATAAAGATCTAGACATGTCCTCAGTACAGACAAAAGCCTGCTTGGTATTGGCATCATGATTCTGTTCAGATAGAGAATGGTATATGTTGAGGTTGGGATAATGAACAGGGACCTGGGTGTGGCCATTATGAAGAATTCAAATTGTAATCTCAATAAAATGGTCATTTAAGGGCTTTATGTTGTATTACTTTAAGTGACAGAACATATACATTTATTGTATATACATGATGCTTTTGTATATGCACAGACCATGAAATGGCTAAATTGAGCTAATTAACATATGTGTTACCTTTTGTACTTTTCTTTGTGTTGAGAACACCTTAAATCTCTTTTTTAAATTGCATGTATTTGTTTGGGAAGCTATTCATGTGCCATGGTATGTAAGGGAAGTCAGAGGACAACTTGCGGGAGGGAATCCATTCTCTCCTTTGACCAGGTGGGTTCTGAGGGTCAAATGTAGGTCTCAGGCTGGGTGGTCAACACCTTTACCTGCTGAGCCACCTCTCTGGAACAGAAATCTGTTATTATTTAAATGTTTTTAAATGACTCAAGGCAGTAAGAATGGGGGCTGGTGATATGGCTCCTTGGTTAAAGATGCTGAGAAGCTGGACAACCTGCCTTCAACTCTCAGAACCCACATGATGGATTAAAAAAAAAAAAAAAGAATTGACTTGTGGTGATATATTGTGTACCCTAGTAAACTTGCCCCAGGATCAGAGGATAGAGCCAACTACTAGATTAGACATAGAGATCAGGCAGTGGTGGCACACACCTTTAATCCCAGGAAGTAATATGGCAGGGTAGAGGAAGGTATATAAGGCATGAGGAAACAGGGACTTACTCTCTTTAGGCTGAGGATTTTGTAGAGGGAAGAACTAGTGGCTGGCCGTTCTGCTTCTCTGATCTTTCAGCTTTCACCCTGATATCTGGCTCTGGGTTTTTTATTAAAAGATCGTCTAAAATTCAAACAACATTGACTATTACAAGTTTTCCGCTCACCTCCACATGTGCACCATGCTACCTTCCCCATTAAAGAAATGTTTTTAAAAAGCAGCAAGAATTGGCAGGGTAAGCTCTGTTAAGAGGTTCCTTCAAGAGTCAAGGTGGTAAAAGCTATGGGTGTGTCTGAGTGGTAGCGTGCTTGTTAGCATTCCTGGGGTCCCTAGTATCACCAGGTGAGGAAAGAGAGCCCAGGCGAGTGCTACATGAGGCAAGAGCGTCACCCGCTCAAGGCCAACCTAAATAACTTACTGAGACCTAGACTCAAAATACAAAAAGTGAAAATGACTGGGGGTGTAGCTTAATGGCAAAGTTCTTGCCTAGCATGCACAAGGCCTTAGGACCCTTAGGATTCAATTCCCAGGACCTGGGGGTCTAAAGAAGGTCTAAGTGAACCTAGTTATCAGCCTAGACAGAAATGCACTGGCAGACAAGGGAAACAAGGAGAGACTAGAACTGTACAAAATAAAACTTATAGATTGCATGTAAAAACAAGAGAAATGGAGTAACCTAAAGGTATGTGCCTGAGTAACCAAGTGGCAAGTAGTGCTTTTACTATGTTGGGGAGGATCTAGGGTACAGGGAGACAGTGTTGGTCCCAAGGAGGGTCCAAAGCACGGAGGAACTTCTAGTATCTGTTCATCTTATTCTTTGAGACATTTTTTTTTTCATTCTTACGTCCTAAATAAACAACTTTACCTATTTTTCAGCCAGGTCAGTTATGCTCTTCAGAAAATTTAGAGGTTGGCAGACTTTGTTTGGTTGAGGTAGTCTTGGGATTAAGGGTTCCATTATGGACATGTTAATTTCTAGATGCCCATTATATATTCGAGTGAGGATAAAAGTGGGCAAGAGGCCATGTAAGTTTGGAGTTCCGGCCTGGAGACAGAATTGGGAAGCAAGCCACATAAAGATGGAATTTAAATTCATGGAAATGGATGAGAC